TTGGGATCCCAAACCTAGTGATGATGTTCTTCCATATGAAGTTCTTTACATCAATATCTCAAATCTTCGCAAGGGGTGCTACCCACTTCGTGAAGTAGTCAGTTGCTATCAGCAGAAATTTTCTTTGCCTAGTTGCTTGGGGCAATTGTCAAACAAGATCCATGCCCCACTGGGCAAATGGCCAAGGGCTGGATACAGGGTTCAAATCTATCGTTGGTTGATGTATCAAAGGTGAAAACTTTTGACACTTCTCGCATTTTCTGACGTAAGCTTCAGTATCCTTTTGCATTTAGGGCCACCAGTACCCCTAAATGATGGCCTTATGAGTAAATGATCTGCCCCCAACATGGCTTCCACATACTCTTTTATGTATTTCATACAAGAAGTCTTTAACCTGGGAGGGATACACACATCTCAAAGGGGGCTCAGTAAAGGACTTTCTATAGAGATGGCCTTCTGCTGTTAGGCTAAACCTGGTCGACCTCAATCATGTCTTGTGCGCCTTTTTTTGGTCATCTGGCATCTTGCCATCCTTTAGGAACATCACTATTACATCCATCCAGCTTGGACCCATCTCCACACACATTGTTTCGTACTCTATGATCAGTGGTTCTACACTTGGGCCTGACAAATAATCGACCGTTATTGTCTTTGCCTCCCCTGATTTCATTGCACTAGCCAGGTTAGCCAAGGCATCAACATGACTGTTATCATCTCGGATAACCTGTTGTAGCCGGCAATCATGGAATAATGCTAGCAGTCTAACAACTTCTTTGACATAGGCTATCATTCTTTCATCTCGGGTTGCATATTCACTTGTTTCCTGATTCACAATAAGTTAAGAGTCATAGAAGACTACCACCTCATCTTTTTGACGGTTTTCCATCAACAAATAGGCGGAAGGAGTCATCGATGTAGATGTCGCAAGGCTTTGGTTTCTCTTATTTCTTCTGTTTTGCTCGAGTGGGGTTCGTAAGCCCCAGTTGGGTTTCTTCCTGCTCCCCTAGGCATCCCAAGTCGCGACTTACCGAAGTCCGACGCGGGATGGCACTAGAGGTGAACTCGGCCACAAAGTCGGCCAGAACCTGGCCCTTAATTGCTATTCGGGGCCTAAACTCTAAGTCATACTGGCCCAACACTACTGCCCATCTGGCTACTATGACAACCCTCACCTCTGATTAGTGCTAATCTCTGATTGAGCATGATAAGTAATTGAACAGACTGAAATTCTGAATTGAATGTATGAGTATATTGCTTTACTTGCATTTCTATATGTTTGTCATTTGATTGATCTGTTCATGTTTTAAGTTTCGAACTGTAAATTGAAGGCCTTATCGGCCGCCGAATCTGAAATTGATTGGTATTTTATGCTAATTATAATTTATATGATTTTATGGTAAGTTTAATTAAAATCCGATTTGGAATGATTAAATTAGATTAAATAACATTAAATCACATTAGATTGTGTTATTACCATATTGCCATTAGTGGGCCACTTTTTGTACCATTGTTTGGAACTCAATTCATATCATTTGATGCACCATTATTCAGCCTTTTTCTTAGACCCAACCGAGAGAGAGAGGAAGAGTAGGAGAAATTGGTTTCATCAAGAGTTTTGCTTGGAAACTTAGAAGATTTGAAAGGAATTTGCAAAATTGAGCTTGTTTTGCTTGGAAACTTAGAAGATTTGAAAGGAATTTGCAAAATTGAGCTTGTATACTTTGAATTCAAGACCTAAGGTAGAGATTTCATCCTCTTATTTGTACATTTGAGTTATTCTTGCATGGTTCATGGGATTATTGGAGGTTAGAGTCAAATTATGGTTTAAAGTGTTGAATTGAGAATTAATCCATGCATGCATGTACATGTCCTTGAATTTAGAAGTTGTTCTTCATGCATTTCCACATGCATGTTCATGTTTATGTTATAGCCCATGAATTCACCATAGTTTTGAGCCTAATCTTGCATTTGATCAAGTTTTATAGCACTAGAGTTCATAAGAGTTCATGCATGTTAAGTTTTTACATAATTCATGAAAACTTCTTTGAAATGGTGTTCAATTGACTCACCCTTGGGCTTTGATTTTACAAATTGATCTTCAAAACATGCTATATTGTTGGTTTCCTAGTGTTTTCCAAATAATTGGCCCAAAAAGTTGAGTTTTGAGGTGTTGAATGCTTGGTTTGAGTTTGGGAGGCAAATCTGGAAATTC